GCTCTTTCTCCGTGGTCTTCTCCATAAGTAATATATTTAAAGGTTACGTACACTGTTTCTAGAGGACACATCTCTAAATTGTGGTGACAAGTCATTTTTTGATTTTACTTTCGGGTTCCGTCTAAACTACTTCTTTGATATCGATTCCTTTATGAGGAATCCAATCTCCATTTCCAGTTCACAGCTCATCTTTTCCTACAGCCGCGCCTTTTATGGATCTCCGAGAGCTCCAGCCTCCACGCTGGAGGAAACACGAGCTACTCGAATTACGGCGTTTTTTTTCACGCTTTGCAAATACCCCGTTAAAAATCCATCTCGACTACCCTGTTTTCCCCTCATCTTTGCTATGAAATGCAGACAGAAATATCACGGGGCAGCCTTGTGCACAGGGTTAGCCCGAGGAAGCGCTTAAATTTATTACTCAGCTGTCGGGACTGCTGAGCTCTCGCAGCTTTTTTGTACTTACTGATTCACTCTCCCTGCTGGAAGGTGATTTTTGGTGAATGGTACTAGGTTGGTTTGATAGTATAACCCAGTAGCTATATTACCTCAGTCTTGCCCAAAACAAACTGCACTGCCAGAAGAACTGTTATAGTACATGTAAGTGTCTCATCACTTTGTAAATTTGTATTTCACGTTTTGAAAAAGGGGCTCGGGTCTCAGTCTTTCTATCTGTGAAATGGGACAACTGCTACATTCCATCTGGAGCTGTGGAACTCAGCACCCGCCACGACTGGAGCTGCAGGATGGGTCGGTGCTTCGTGAACCCTCCCACGTGGGGTCAGGGGGAGGGCATGGAGGAGTCCCCATTGGCTGAACGGGAGACAGCTCCTCTACCCCAGGCTTTTCATTGCTGCTTTCTCAGGCGGTTTTAAACATCATGGCATAATTATAGAATAGAGTTAGAGGGGAATAAGAATTAGAATAGACTAAGAATTAGAATAAAATTAGAATTAGAATAAAATCAGAATTAGAATAAAGTTAGAACAGAACTAGAATTAAAATAGAAATCAAATTAGAGTAGAAATAGAATTAGAGTAGAAATAGAATTAGAGTAGAAATAGAATTTGAGTAGAAATAGAATTCGAGTGGAAATAGAATTTGAGTAGAAATAGAATTCGA